GCTGAACTCTCAAGACGACCGGTCCATTGTCCCAGACCAACAGATGGTGCGGTAATCCTGTGCCTGGCTGAGCTGCATATCCACCATTTGGTCCTGATTTGGCTGAGATTCCCAGACGAGAGAGTGAATTCTTGGGTTTTTGTCGAGCTGTGCTGTGGTGCCACACATAAAACTGGGTTGACCACAAACTGAGGTAAGGCAGGAACCTTTGTTTATACATAAAACCTCCACATTGAACTTATACTAAAGTAAAGTTGATGTATGGACTGCCCACTCTGACGTTTTAAATTGGATTCAAACAGTAAGGATAATAAAACACATTTGTTTTTGAATGATGTGCTGATCTGTGAATGAGTGTCATGATTACAGAATTTGATATCAATAAGGGACGTAAAATTCATGTTTTATAAGTGAATTTCTGCTACTTAGTAGCAGTTGTCTCCCCAAATTGCCTGATTCCTTTTTTAATTTCCCTCCGGCTGGAGAATAGACAGAGCATCATCTCAGCTGAAGAGATGCTCTTTGATACATTCCAGATGTAATAACGGCACAAGGAAAATGCCAGTTTGTTATTTTTCATGGAATATGTGGGAGGTTAACTGTATAACAGGCTGATTAAAACGTTGTTCACAGGCGTATCACATCTAGGTTCGGCTGTGAGAATTCACTGTGACTCGATGTGCCTTGTGCAGCTGTGAACTCAGTCCGGGTGGGAATAGGCTTACGGGGAACTGTATATTAGCTTATGGTGGTGGCTGTTCTTGTGAGATAAAACGGTGTTAATTGGCTGGGGTAACCCAGAGGACCTGCGTGCATCAGAAATTAGGCTGATGTAGGAGCTTTGCAGGTTGGCCGTTTTTCACTGGGCCAAGAGCCTCTCGTAACAGACAGTGTCACGTGTGGCACATATTTTTTCATCATGGCTGATTGTGATATTATTCAGGACTGGCACAAATGCAAACCTGGGTCTTTAGGTGCTATTTTGTATCAACTTTTGAACAAATGGCTTGGCACATTCAAGCCAATATTGTAGTGAAATACAGCGCTTTATTTCATGGGCTGAAAAGATGTGTGAGAAGGGAATGTTCAGTGCCTATAACGAAGCTCCCCCAGCAGAGGGAGCTGTAAGACTGTATATTAAACAAGCAGCTCACTCAGCTGCTAAAACACGTCTGCGTAACAGTACAGCATCTTTACTACAGAAACACAAAACAGAAGCTAAAGTTAAACACTGTGAGACATTTCTTCAGGACTGTCTCTGTTTTTTGGCTGAATTTGAAAATATTCAGAAACCCACAGCCAGTGTAAAGGAAGTACACGTGTCTGCCACTTTTTCCAGTGACGCACATACAGATAGAAAGCAAGTCTCACAGATGCATACACACACAGATTCCAGCTCACAGGAATCTCGAGGTCACTCACACACACCCTCAGCCCCTCCTCCCTCTCAAACTTCTTTGCAGGAAGGAAGCTGGGAGACAAAATTTCAAAGTAATGCACAACACCAGATGTCATTAGTTACCCCTGCCGTGAGTAATCAAAATGTTTCACCACTAGTTGTTGTACATGGGGGAATATTATAGACAGCTGCTTTTCCCGGTAGAGATAAGGACTGGCGTAGCGCTCAACAATATTTGGACAGTGTTAGAGCAGAGTCTGAAGCACAGACTGCTGCTCTCAGGATTGAAGTTGGCACTTCTGGCCATGATAGTACTTCTGTAGTTTCAAATCCTGTGAAGAAGTTGAAAAAAGTGTGTGGTGTTTCAGTGAAAACTCATAGTTATACTTCTGGTGCTGGAGGGAAGAAAAAGCATGTCTGTCATGTGGCAGTGCCGACTATGACTGAGAGTGAATGTTCAAGTGAGGACAGTAGTGAGGATGATAAGCCCTATGCCTTCTCTGCACGACGTAAGGACAGACACAGAGGCAATATACACGACTGTCTGGAGAGACCCGCTACTCAAATGCCACTTCTCCAAACTGAGACAGCGCAGGGTGGAGTTTCAATGATGTACACGCCGTTCACTCCAGCTCTGGGTGATTTCAGACGCATATTCACAGCTTGTAGTTCTCTCGGTATGTTACAGGAAGTTGAAGCCTTAGCAAACACAGATGGAGACGGTGACTCAGTCTCACTTCACACTGTAATACACGTGCTCTGGCCTGTGGTCAGGATGAAGTATCCACTATGAGTCCATTGTCAAGTTGTCTTGCATTCCTCCACAGACTGGGGAGACGGGAAGCCAGTACCTCATTAGGGTGCGTGAATTGTGGCATAATTACAGTGGTGAAGATCCTGTGATGGTTGAAAGTGTTG